GTATTTGTTTGAGGGAATGTGTACCAGTAACAGAACTTTAATTTTCTCTTTATAAAGTAAAATAAGCACCTTTTCTTGGAAAATATTCTGAATAATATTTGTTCTTCAAGTACAAAATATTAGCAAGATATTTTGTTAGTAAAATTAGCAAAAAAAGCAATGAATGTTTGTCTCTATTCCCCCACAAACAAGTCTCTCACAACATCAGCTTCCAAGCTACTGAAAATCTTACCCTTGGCAACAGTTTTAAATTCAGGGGACTCATTCTCTCTACCAAAATGTAGTATTTCAAAAAAAATTACTTCTCAAAATTTCAGAAGACAAAAATAATTAAAAGTGACAAAGTTCTAGTCTTTAATACCAAAACATTTATCCTTTGCCAAATTACAAACATCCAGAAATTGACTTTGAAATTGGTAGAGTTTGAAATCAGTAAATAATATTGAAGTGGTTCATAAAAATGAAATTCTCTTTCAACACACTCCCAAAACACTAAGTGACCACAAAATTTACTATGTTCTTGGGGGTTGCCTAGTAAAGACTCTACATGAAACTATTCACTTGAAAAGATTAGGCACTGACTTCATAAGTCAGATAGTTAAACAAATTTAGATTTGTTTTACCATCAATTTATATAAATTAGAGACCAGAAAAAAAAAATCACTAAAATTTGTCTGTCATAATAAGAGGTTTTTTAAAGTACATCCCAGGATATCAGAGAAAAATAACTTATATTCCTTAGGAACACACAGTTATGTTCCATGAAAATCAATTTTAGCAATAAACTGAATAAATAAGAAATGACTTAAAATTGAAAGGGACAAATGTTTGTACCACTAAGGTAGCAGGAAATTCTTTAAAATACTTCAACCTAGGAAAATAAAGTCTCAGGATGAGGGCAGGATAAACAAAGCAACCAAAATGATAAACTAGAAAAGTGAACAAAATTATATCTGAGATATTTGGACACAGTACTCCTACAAAGAAAGGGACAGAAAACAAAATTTTAAGTATGAAGAGATTGATATAATAGGAGTTAGAGTTCTGCAGCTGTTGGTGTGAGCCTATTACTCATAAGAATTGAAGGTGTCAATGAATATAATTCAGAACCTGAATGCTTAAGTTATTAAGACCTTTAGAATAACAACAAAAAATTGCTACCAAGATTTGAAAAAGCAGACAAGTTTCAAATTTAAAGTTTATCAAAATGTGATGCTACTTTCCCTAGCAAAAGGGCTGCCTCACCCAATCTCTGGATTCCTTTGTTTAAAAAAAAGTACCAAGGAATTTACTGTATTGCAAACCTGGGAGTCTAGCAATTAACTCTAAATTCACTTACTCTTCCCTTCTTCAAATATTACCTAACTAAACGAAACTCATCAAAAATCCCGAAATACTCACTAAAACCAAAATAACAAAAAGATCCAAGAGTTACAAGCAGAAAGGCACAGTTAGTTATTAGCTGACCAACATAAACATTTCTTATTTAAAAGCATCCAGGAACGTTTCTTCACCAATGGGGAATGTATTTCAAGGAATGAGCTCATTTTAACAAAATTCCCTTACAAATTGGATGTCCCAAAGAGTCACTGATGAAGACTTGTATATACATTTACTTAACATTACATAAGATCTGTTTCAACTTAGTTTTTATTTAAACAAACTGTATTATTGTTCCCTGTGATTTTCATCCCTGGATACAATACCAGACTTAGGGTAGCTGAATGTAATGTATGAATAAGGCAACAGACAATGATTTTATGCACTTACTTTATCAATACTTAATCTCTGGAATAAAATCCATGTAATTTACAACTGCTGAAATATGTGCTTGAAGGTATATGAAGAAGTAAATATTTATATACTCTATAAAAGTCTGCACATTCATAGTTTGGGAAATTTTAGAACAAAATTAACTAGTTGTATCATTAATCAAAATAGAAATGGTTTAAGAATATACTCTGCAGTAAAATCAAAGAAACTAATCCTGATCACAGGACTATATCATGAAACAATTTCACCAGAGGTCCAAAGTTCAACTTCCTTTACTATTGGAAAAATACAAAGTTCAAATTCAAGTGACAACTGTTCTCTTTGCAGAAATATAAACAACAGAGTCATAATCGAGAAACACGTGATTAGTTGGGCCAACGAATAGGTGAAACTAAAGATTCTCCTAGAAGCAAGAAAAGTAATGACTGCTAAGTACTGCATTGAAACTAAAACAGTAAGAAATTCCCTAATTCATTCAGGAGAAGCCTTGGATTATGAACCATATATTAAAGAGTTACTTTCAATTATCTATTAAACATTATAACAAAATAAAGAAAAAAATCAAAGCTTAAGGCAGTAACTTCCAGAAAGAGCCTTCATTAAGTCATCCGGCTGAGAGTACCAGCTTTGGGTAGGCCCCCCTTAGCATCTACTAGATGAAAAGGAGAAAGCCAGGGAGAATCAGTGCTGCAGCAGCCATATCCCACAGTCCAGCTCATCCTTCTACCATGGACTTTGTTAGAAGACAGTATGAGATCATTCCCCGTTAGTATTATATCTTACAGAAATGGTTAAATTTTACTCTTACATTGTGCTAATTTCTAAATGATATGCTATGAATATAGTCTAATAGAAAGCTACTAGTCATGAGAGTGCTAAATATACAGTGCCTTATTAAACTGAAAAATCCATTTCTCTCACAAAGTTTAGATAGAAAGAGAAAAAAACAATGTGTAGGGCAAGTTTCTTTTTAAATTCCCTTACTCTGTATTTTCATCCTTTTCAAAATGAATCACAACAGTATAGAAGCTTTGTCTCCTCCGGAGATAATATATATGTTGTTTTATTGAAGAAAGCCCTTTAAAATAACATCTAATGTAAGGCTAAGAAATGCAGAATATTATTTTTAAAGAGATTAAAATTTTTAAATTACAACCTGCTTAGAATATTGATACAGACATGATATCCATTATAAATGATTGATGCAGAGTACATCTTTAAAAAATAAGTGTATTATTCAGAACTTTATTATTAATCATCACAAAATGTTCTGCAGCCATTAATGTAAGTTATCCCCTTTATTTTGACTAAATATTTAAAATAGGACAGTGTCTTTGGCTGTCAAGAGGATAAAATTCTATTACTATAAAAATGTCAACTGCACTCTGGAGCATAGGATGTTTATTCAATACAATTAGTATTACTAAACACACCCTAAACCTTGAATTATTTTCATAAATTTGATATAAAGGTAGAGAAAATGTAAAACATGTAGACCAAAGTAATGTTAATTAAATAGCCATCTCTCCAGTGCTCTAAAAGAATCACAATAATTTGGAATACACTAGCTTCTGAATCAATATATCAACTTTCAGATTATTTCTTAAAATAAGTTATACTCTATCTATGCTCCCAACTAATCAAAACAAAACACAAAGCAATGATGCAGATGTTCTCATTATTCACTGACTCATGGGATTTGAACTAAATGGCACCTAGACTAGTAAATGCTGTCTATATAGGCTTGCAGTGTCTGACTGGCTGAATTACAGCACCGAAAGCCTTTCCTCTACCCTTCACATATGGCTCTAAAAGTTTGAGTTAAGGAAGAATTTTACAATTCTCAAAACTATACAGAAAAAAGCTGTTTAAAGTCTGCCAGCATTTTTTAAAAAATTAACAATGGAAAGAAAACCTCACATAAACCCCACAAACTTAAAATGATTATGATGGAATAGGCTATATGAAGAAAATCAAGAAAATCTTAATTTAAGACTGTAGGATCACATATGTATGTGTATATATCCACAATACACACAGGTAAATTGCACCACAAACCATCAGTTCCAATCAAACTCAAGGACTATTAAAGATGTATTTCCAAAGTGAACTGCTGAAGAAAGAAAAAAAAAAAACGTGAAGGAAATAACATACTAAATTTTTCTCCAGAATTTTCTAGCATTTTGTAGCGAAGGAATGGACTGATACCTAGCTCAGGTCACAATTAAGCCCATTGTATTTTGATGCACCATGTATTCAGTGGAGCACATTCAGCAAAGGCAGTTTGATTTCTTCTTACATTGCAATCGCAATCGTAATTCTCTCTCCTACAAACATCTCAGAAGACAGACTTGCATTCTACCAATGTTGAAATGGCCAACAATGTTCCCGATAACAGATTCATAAGGACTACTACATACTATCAGATATCACTGTATTCTGTCTGATCAATGCTTTGAAATTGGCAACTATGCCATAAACATAACATGCTTTGCAGCAGATTTTACTAGCATAAAAGACACCAGGGCAACAGGGGCTCTTTTAACCCACGACTTCAACAAAATTCTATAAAATCAAAAGCTTTACAAAAGCTTGTAGTCAGCTAGGCACCTAGGTCTCCCTTCAAAACCCAGACTCTATTCAACAGCTCCCTGAAAGAATACACCACTTTGCCACATATCACATATTGTACCTTCATCGGTACCCAGACACCTGAACCACCTAGACTGACAGAGTTAGGCTTGTCAGCTCGGAGATGTCTGCTAATGTGCAAGAAACACTGAAGCAGCTAAGCCCTCCCAGGTACACTAGGTACCTTGGCACCAAGTGCCTCATAGTAAAAACCTTTTTCCCTGTTAGAATATGCATAAGACCGTTCCAAAGGAAATGCTACAATTATAAGGACCTTTTGCACAAAAGAGAGCAGAAAGGGACTGGCTTTCTCTAGTCAAAAACTCTTGTTTGCGGTGGCAAGCTACAAATTTAGGAAACCCAGCTTCTGGTGGTAATTCTGCGACAGCTTGCAGAGCAGCCCAGCCAAACCAGAGCTCAGTTTTCCCACCGGCAAAATGGGAATCACCATCCTTCCTCCCTCGCCAGGGAGTCAGGCACACCCTAGAGGTCTACGATTACCCACGGCGAAACACCGAGCGCAGGTGACGCCGCCGCCAGGACGCCCACCCGGACCTCCCCCAGGCCCCCGCGACAGAGAGGCAGGGCCGGCGTACCTGGCTTCACGGTCTTGAGACGGATGGGCTCGCGGAAGTGGCGGATGACAGCCAGGGTGTCCCGGTTGGTGAGCCCGCTGACAGGCGTCCCGTTCACCTCCAGCAGCACATCCCCAGGGCTGGGCGTCTTGCCCGAGACGACGCAGCAGGTGCCCCCGCCGGGCTCCTCGCGGAGCCGCCCCAGGTAGGGGAACTCGCCGCGCTCCGCGCCGCCCCGGATCTCGGCGCCGAAGTCGCCCGGGGGCCCAGCCCAGGACACCGCGCACTCCTGCACCTTGCTGAGCCAGTGCTTCTTCTTCTTCAGCGTCTTCGACATCCCGAACCCCGCTGCACCATGGGGGAGACCCCGCGCGGGCGGCCGGGGCGCCGCTCCGGCCCCCTCTCAGCCCGGGGCCCCGGGCGGCCCGCGCAGCCCGGTCAGGGGGCCTCGCCGCTCCGTGCCCCCGGCCACAGCCTGCGGGGGCCCGGCCGCCCCAAGCCCGAGACGCCCCTCAGACACCCCTCCCGGCTGCGCTCCCCGGGGCTGACCAGACTCCGCGAGAGCCACCCGGGGTTAGGCTGAGGAAAGGAAAGGGAACTGTCCCCAGGCGGTTCCAGAAGGGGTTTCGGGCGGGGTCACTGCCACCGGCTGGCCCCCGGGCTCCGCGCCCCAGCGGCGGGAAAGGCAGAGGCGGGGGGGCGGGGAGCGACAGGGGGAAGAGCAGGAACGCGAAAAATCCGTCCGGGGCGCGCAGAGGCGCGCGCAGAGCCGTCGAAGGATCGATCGTGGCGGCTGCGGAGCTGTAGCGCCGAGACCAACGCCTGCCCAAGCTGCCAGGAAACTGCCGCTTTCAAACCCGCCGCAACCTCCTCCTCCCTCTTCCCTTCCCCCCGCCCTCACCCATCCCTCACCCGGAGCCCCGCCCCCTCCCGCCGCGCGGCGCCCGGCGCGCTGCCGTCACAGGCCGGGCGCGGGGATCGATCCCCAGCACTCGACTCTCGCGCCGAGGATTGGCTCCCGGCGCGCAGTGGGCGGATCCCTAGCGAGAATTTAGGCCAATGATTGGTTAGTGGGAGTGGAGGAGGCGGGCACTAGAATGACTGAAGTTTAGAGAGGGTGGAAAAAAGAAGTTTGGAGAGTGAGGGAGGGTGAAGGGGAGGGGCAGGGGAGCGAGGCTGGCTGCAGGTCGCTGGGCAGGGAGAGGCCGTCCGCGGGGCGGCTGAAGCCTAGGAAAACTCGGATGCCGAAAGCGACCGAACTCCCCGGGGTGGGGGCGTGGCTGGCAAGCCGAGCGGAGACGCGGGCGGAGCCTCGGAGCCTGCGCCGGGGGCAGAAAGGGGCCGGAGTGCTTAGATTGGAAGACAATGCGCCTAGTACTGAGCGGCGGGAGGTGGCGGGACCTTTAGGGTGGCCTGTTACCGTCGATCGTTTATGTTGAGTCGATGTTTCTTGTTCTTTCAATCATTCCATTCAAAGAGCTGTGGAGTCTAGTTGATGAAAGATAAAACAGAGTCCTACACTGCTGTGTGACCTCAGGCAAATTAGACAACCTCTCTGGGCCGCAGCATCCTCAGTTGAAAAGTGGTGATAATTATATTTACCCGCCCAAGTAGTTGTGAAGATTACATAAGATACATATAGACTATTGTCATAATGCCTGGCAGAGGATGGATGCTTCTTAACATTTGGTAGCCGATAATGATGAGGACAATTTTGTGTCAGAAATTGTGCTAGATACTGAGGTTCAAGGATGAAGAAAACAGAGGCCCTCCTCTCAAGGAGGTTAGAGTCTAGTGGGAGAGACTGACAAGTAAGCTGATTGCCTGAGGTGAGTGGGGTGGGTGGAGGTCAAAGGTGTATTATTAGGAACTAACCTGGTAGCCAGCAGACCTGGGTTGGAGTCCTGGCATGCTACTTAACTTGCTGTTTGACCTTGGCCAAATCTCAGTTTCAAGTTTACTCATCATTAAAGGAGGTGGAGGGAGAACTCATTTTAAATAAAGGGAATCTTAGATCCCCGAAAGCTGTAATTTTTCAGAAATTCATCTTGAGCTTTGTCTCCTCCCTGGCTAGACTCACAATCTTTCCTGTCTTTGGAATGCCCTTCATCCCATGTCTTTAAAAAAATCCTATCCATTCTCACTCCAAATGCCTTCTCTTGCAGGCCGCCTTCTCTGATTTCTTGCCTTCAGGTAGAAGGTGTTTTCTCTGAGCTATGATACTTTGTTTCACAGTTACAACATGACATTTATGCAGTCTCCTGTCTCCCTTTAATGGTAAGAGAAAGCCTTTATTTAAACTATGAATAACTCCACAGAATCTCACATCTCAGATAGACCAAGCTTCAGTAGCTGCAGTGATTTTATTCACAGCATTGTATCAGTGAGGGTCCTTGCAGGAAACAAATGGCACTTTACAAAGATGTAGGCAGGGTGTGGAAAACCACAAGGGAAGTGTGGAGCCCTGGGGCTACAGCTCCTAGATCTGTAGATGCAGTGGAAAGAACTCTTACCAAAATACAGACACTGAGAGAGTACTTAACAGGAGCCTCTGACCTTCAGTCAATGGATACAGTCAGACTTAATAAAGGAATTTGTTCTGTAAAGTTTGGATTTGGTGGAGGGGCTGCACTTGGGGATCTGGGGGGCCACATGTGGCCTTGAGGCTGCAAGTTCCCCACCCCCTCCCAGAGAAAACCCAAGAAGAAACTGGGGAATTTATATCTCACCACCCTTCTCCAGTCTCCTGCTGGTGCATCCCAATGGCCAAATCCAACCAGAGGCCAAAGGGCAAGGGAGCCTTTTGATGCAGTCCAAATCAGTCAGTCTCATGGAGAAAAGGAAACTGCATCTGGAGGGAAAATGGAAATACCCAGCATAGATAAGTTGCTCAGATTTACCCAGATCTGAGACAAAGCTATAGGGTTGTTTTTTTTCCTCTGAACTGCTACCTATACTAATGGATTCCTAGATGAAATGATGATTAGCTGCACATCATCTATTTTTGCTGAAACTCTGGGAAAACATCTTTTCTTCTCTAGGTTGTGTCTGTTAGAAATGCCTCTGGTCACAAGGAGCCTCACAAACAGTAGCTGAAAGCATGAGGTCATTTATTACATCTATAACCTGAAGCGTAGGTAGTTTCAGGGTTAGTTGAGCAGCACAATTGTGTAAACAATAATCTAAGCTCTTTTTTGTGTTTATTCTCTGCCATCATACTCATGTTGGCTTTTGTCTCTAGGTTTGTCACCTCTTAATTGCAATGTGGCTGCCACAGCTCCAGACTTCATATCCTCAGAGGTTATTGTGCAAAGAAGGATGAAGGAAAAGCAAGTGCTGCTCCCATTTTTATGAAGCAGAAAAATTTTTCCCAGACTTCTCTCTAGTGGAATCTCCCTTATTGGCCAGAAAATGGCCACATGCTATATGAGACCAGTCACCCACAAAGGGAAATGGGATTGCCACCAGTTCATTAAATTGATCATGAACCTCCAATGCTCCCCCAAAATAGGGGTTCTGTTTGAGAGAAGAAAGGGGGAGTAGTTGTTACATTGATACCCAACAGTGTCTGCCACATGCTTCAACCAAAAATAAGTTATATTGATTCTTGGGCAGAAAACTATAGGGATTAGGAGCTCGAGTTCTCCTGTCAGACTGCAAATCCCCGTTTTTCTACTTACTAGCCCTGTGATCTTGAGCAAGCTGTTTAACCTCACCTAATCACAATTTGTTCATCCACAAAATGGGTCTTGCCTGAGTTGTGAGAACTGTATGAAGCTATTTAAGTACTTAACTAACATAGGGTGCAGCATGTAGCAAACAACAAATTATTATTTTAGTTTGTGCTAAATTATAATATTTGTGACAAGATTAAAAGCATTGCTAAACTTTATAATTCTGTACATGTTAAATTCACTCATCTCAGTAAGCTTAGTCTTAGTTTTTAAAATGCTCTAGAAATAAGCTGCCCACTCATTGAATGAATGAGGTAGAATACTGGTAGGATACTATTCTGGACATTTTTATGTAGTTAAAGGGATCATATTATAAGTTTCTAAAATAGCACATAATTTTTAGGCACCTGATTAAATAATTAGATTGTATTCATATTTATCACTGTTTCCCAAACTTATTGGGTGGCTTAATAGTTGTGGATTCCATTGAGAAATATTAATAAGCCAGACAATATGGATCCTGGTTTAAAAAATAAATGAGACAGTTGAATTTGATGATCTCCAAGGTTTCTTTGGACTAATTCTGTCTATCTAATCTATAGATAGATATGTTTCAGTATGAAAACTGTATACGTTTTGTCCCAAGATTGCTGCAGTGGCTCCAAGTATCACATCCTCACACAATAATGTCCAAAAACTGAAAGGAGGAAAGAAGATATCTCCTTTCCTCATTTCCTTTTTATAGATCAAGGAAGCCTTTCCCATAAAGACCCTCAGCAAGAGTTCCTCTGCAGCTCATTGGCCGCGATTTCCCAAATGTCCTTCACTAAACCAGTCTTTGCCAAAGGTAACGAAATACCACGATTACTTATCCAGCTTCACTTCTGGTGCTCACAAGAGGACTCAGCCTCTTTTAAACCACGTGACTGCACAGTATCTGAACAAATCCGGGGCTCTTTTAGTACTATGGAGAAGATTGGCTTTTGGGTAAGCAATCTACAGTGTCTGCCGCATATCCATGGCATTGATTTGCTTCTAATAAATTTTTTTAGCAAGGTAGAAGGTTTGTTTCATTTCATAATATTGTGCCTAGTGTTCCTAATGAGAGTTAAATAAAGCCACCCCTTTACATGGAAAACTTCAGCATGGGAGTATAAGTTTCTAATTGTTTTGAGGTGCCCCATGCTTAGTGACTCCTTTGTACAGTCAGGGCTGCCTCATGTGCTGCTGCAGTTCAGAGATGATGTGAGTGCTGCCCCTGGAGCTGTGCGTGGCTCCGTGCCAAAGCCAAACAAGTGCAGGGGGGAGTGTGAGATTTCATGTATCTTTTATGTTCTCACTAGTTTCATGGAACCCTGCATTTCTAGTAACAGAAAATCAAACCATCATTATTTAGTATTCAATTACTGAGATGGCAGCGGGGGAGAGAGGTGGAGTGGACAGATAGAACAAATATTTGCCTTCCATACAGAATAAAAGAAAATTTATCCTTCTCCTCCACACAGATAATTAAAATAGAATCGTCTTGAGTTGTTAAAATTCTAGCCCACAAAATCTTTCACTGGCTTAGAAAATGTTTATATTTACCTATGTAATGGAAATGATACATGTAATGTAGTCCAACATTAATAGCCTAACCGAATTTAGTACTAGTGTTCTAGTGTATCTTTATATTTTATTAGCATTTTTATTTGCCTAGGCCTATGGGCTAATTTGTATGCTAATGCTAAAATATGCTCAATTACAAAAGCAATAACATGGAAAATTTTATTTCAGTTAAACAAACTAATTTATTGTCTAAAATTGGTATTACTGTGTTTTATGCATAAACGCCGTGCATTTTTTTGCCCACAGGTGCTCTTACCTGCAAAGGACCAAATGAACACAGCCCAAATTCACAGAACAACAGAAACATCAAAAATCAACTGCAGAGCAAACATGCTTTGGAAAGAAGAGTTAGTTAAGCAGTCAAAGGTCAAGTTTGTCCAGCAAAGCAGGACGAAAAGAATATTGAATGAAATAGAAAATGTCAAAATGCTCATCTTTTAGCTAAAATACCACCTCCTACCCAACGCTGGCCTTGATTTCCTATAGGTGGATGTCATCTCTTCTTTCTCCAGAACCAATAGCATGTTGTTTCTGTCTATATGTTTTATCTTTTCCAGTAGACCTTGAGATCCCTGAGGTTAGGGTCCCTTTCTGATTCATTTATGTCTCTCCCATTGGGCTGGGCACTTTGTCTTTAGTATAGTTAGTACACATTCATTCAACAAAAATAGAGTATGTGTTATGAGCAGGCCTTGTTTTAGGTACTAGTTTATAGCAATTAAAAGATTTGCAAGGTTCCTGCTTTCATGGGGAAGAAGACAGTAAACCTGAAATGAGTAAATGATCAAGATAATTTCTGGTAATAATAATTATTATAAGTAGAATATGAGACAGAATGAAGTGATGGGGTGATTAGGGGTGGACACAGGCTACATTCCATAAAGGGCTTAGAGAAGGCCTCATTGAAAAGGTGACAGTTGAGTGACAAAGAAAAGTGGGCCATATGAAGACACAAGCCCAGAACATTCCAGGCCAACGCCAAGACTTCAGGTAGGCCTTTGTCTGAATGTGAGGAACAAAGAGTGCTCACGTGGCTGGAGTGTGGTTATGGTAGGAAGTTAAGAGTCAGAGAGGTAGGCCAGAGACCAGATCACATACAGCCTTTTAGGCCAAAGTAAGGAATGTGGGTTTTATTGAGAGCACAGGGAGAAGTTTTAAGAAGAGTGGCATAATCAGTTTTGCATTTTAGAGCTGATTGCTATGTTGAGAGCTCAAACAGGGAAGCCAAATAGAAACCTCCAATGAGAACCCATTGAGAGGTGCCTTGGACCAGGGTAGAAACAATGGAGATGACAATCTGTTGAGTGCACTGTGGAAACCAGAAATTATAGCTTTAATTTCCCGGACTGATCACAGTTAAAGAAATATAAGTTACAATTGTATTTAATAAGAAGTTTTGTGGAATGTAATTGCTTTGTTGAAATGTCCCTTCCCAGTAAGATAAGGAGATTAGAAAATAAAAAGTGAGGAAAAGTTCTTAATTAAGTTTAAATTTATACAGGTTCTTTCTTTTATTATGTTTATTGAAAAGAACTTCCAAAGGGATGTAATGCTAATTTCAAGGGGTTTTTTTAATCTCTTAAAGTAATATCCACTCAAAGCACCTTAAAGTTTGTGAAACAATATTTATTGTTCTTTGAATCTACAGAATATAAGAAGTGGAATTTGTTTCTTAAATTATAAAGCTACTCATGAGCCTTGTTTTAAAAGAGCTCTACCACCATAAAAAATCTTTTAGGTTCTTTGACTAGTTAGAAAACTTCATATTCTTTATTCTTACTTTCTCATTACAGACTGGAAGCAAATAGTGCCTGTAGCAGATTCCAATATAAAGAACAACTTGAGGCTCCCTCTCTTCAACAGAAGGAAAATTCTCATTTACTTGGCTAAGCTTAGGTGAAGTGCTTCCAAACATGCACTCCCAAATTTTTTACAGTAAAAATTATTGGAAGCACACCACATGAGCTTAAAATAAACACACACCATTCAAAGACAGGATACTGTGGCCTTTGTTATGCAGACAGTCCCCGACATTCGATGGTTCAGCAATTTTTCAACTTTATGATAGTGCAAAAGCAATACATATTTAGCAAAAACCATACTTCAGGTATCCAGTCATTCCATAGGATACTTTCAATATAGTGTTCAAAAAGTTACACATGAAAAATGGCGGGGGAGGATCAAGATGGCGGACGAGAAATACCGCCAGAAAGAGTGTCTCTGCAGAAAACACAGATTCTAGCAGAAATTAGAAAAAAGAAGCAAGAAAGTGAGCATACAGCAGACGAGGGCTGGAAGGAGGGGTACCTGAGACCCCGGGGAGACTCCACGGGAGGAGGATGCGGAGGAAAACTGGAAGCTGAGACCGCCGGAGCAGCCTAGAGACCAGTGGGAAGGGTAGGTGGATAAATCACCTTTCCCCTCCCCTGCATTTGGGACTGCTGGTGGGCTCCCCAGCGGGTGGAGAGACCTGCGGACACCAGCCCAGAGACAGCCACCGCCAGCTAGCGGTGAGCCTGTAGCGGATGCAGCTCCAGACTCCCAAATCCCTCGGGGCACCTCCATGTGCACAGACCTGAGCTGCCCAGCAGGCGCCATATTGCCTCCTCCTCCCCTCCTCCGACCCTACCCACCGCTGCCCAGAGAGACAATACAGCCACCAGCCAGAGGCACCTCCAGGGAACAGGACCTTCCCTTTTGGGACCCTACAGCTGACTAAGGGGAACTCAGACTGTGAGCTCCCTACCCGCCAGCCCTCCCAGGTGCTGCTGGCACGGTGATCCCAGGAGAACGGTGCCGACTCAGAGGCTGAGAGACACAGACACAGCTTGGCGCTCCCTGTGGGTGAATTGGGACCGAACATTCCCTCTCCTGGTGGGGATACAGTTTGAACTCTGGGACCCAGAGGTCAGACCTGAGACCAGATCCCCTGCACCGAGGCTAGCATTACCCAGGCACAGAGAGGGTTTTTATGAACAGGCCTACTCAGAGGTTGTGTGCCTCCAGGGGCGGATCCAGCATCACTAGAGGGAACCTCCCCCCAAGAGGGAAGCCGCGTGCGCCCACCCAGGTGGGTGTCTCGCGCAGTGTAACGCTCCCGCCGCATCACAAATCTGGGGAGGGCCTGGTGGCGTGTGGTCTGGCCTACTGGCAGAGGCCCAGGAGTAGCTGCGGAGTTGGGGAAGGTGGAAAGAAGCGAGGCCTGCTCCAGACTGGGAGTCTCAGACAGCCCCACCCCCACAAGCAGACTTTCTGGGTGAGCGGGACCATTCAGCCCGCGCCTGACAGCTTTTCTAGAAGCAGAGAACCAGAAATTTGACCCCTGCTAGGGGCATTGGGTGGTGCCTGAGGGCAGGCTTACCCACACCAGCTCCGCCCAGAACAAGAGCTGATAACAGACACAAAAACAACAGCAAGCCTGTTCCTCCAAGCAACGCCACCATACTGACAGGGACGGCATGCCTGCCACAGCCTTTCATGGCACCACACTGACTCATTATACAGGGAGTGGTCGATCTCCCCACAGACACCACCTAACGGCTCAGAAACTAACAACAAGCGTGTGAATACCCAAACGGAAACCTAAAGGAAAACAACAACTGATCGACATGGGAACAATCAGCGAAGGAACTCCAGGAAATATGAACGAACCAATGGACAAACACACCCCCAAAGAGAGCACAACCAGCCCCCTAGGAAACGGACACCAACCCAAATCAGGCAACCAAATGACAGAAGAGGAATTTCGTATGTGGATCATAAGAACACTCACCAACTGCAACAACAACTCAATAACCAACACCAAGAACCAC